CAGTCAATTTTTTATTTCAACAAAAGCTAGTACTGATAGTAAAAATCCTGTTGTATTTGATAGATAAGTACTATATAAATTTGTATTTTAATTAAAGGTTGTATCTTACAAAAAGAGAGTTATAATAGGCGAATTTTGGTGTGCCTCTGGTATATAGTAACCAAAAGTACCCGCGACTAAGGCTATCTTCGTTTTCAGGTATCAGAAGACAAAGATATGCTCAACTACGGTATTAGGAGACGTGGTAGTGTCTCCGGCCATGTTCAAATATTCCATGTTCCAATATATTTCTGCTTCTCTCTCTCTCAACAAAAAAATATTATATAATTTAATTATATTGATATATTGATATAATTATAAGTACTGTTCATATAATATATATGTGTATATGTGTACATAAATTTTTATTATATATTTTATGTTCTGATAAAGTAATTTTTTAACAATAAGTGTATTGTAGATACAAGACTTATTTTTGCGAATTAAAAAAGAAAGAAAGAGGGCACGCGGTTAAAAAGATGTAGTAAGTATATAAATTCACACGGAGAATTACACAAGCACCCAAAATTTAATTAGATTTATTAGGCTGTTATATTTTTTATTGATTGTGTTTCTCATGGTTTTATATGAGAGTTAAGGATACAAAAATATCAAATAAAAATAAATATAATTTATATATAATATTTTATAATATACATCTAATAATTATATATATAATTATTTATATATAATTCTCTACTGTAAAACACATTTTCAAAAATAACTTTTTAATGGGTAATGAGCGATGGCTAAAACCTCTTCAAGGTCACTCAGGATCATGACCTTGATAACATATGTCGAGGTCAAGGCCATCGGGAATTGTTAGTATAGCAATAGAGAGAGAGAGAAAGAGAGATAACTTATTGTAACTTAGATAATTTTTAATTATCTAAGCACAACACTGTCTGCAAGAGATTACACACGTCAGAAAGGATTTCCCAAGTAGAACACATAATAAGACAATATTATATAATAGAGAGAGAACAGAAAATCATGATTGCATCAAAAATACTCTAAAATAATGGTTAAAAGTTACTTTTCGATCAATATCATGATTTCGATTATTCATTTTACTGTCATTTTAATTTTATCGTAACTTGTTGTTCTATTTGAGTTCTGCATCCGAAAGGTTGATGAGCCATTTGTCATCGATGACTCGTGTAGAAGTTTGGTCGTTTTATGAGCAAAAGTCACAGGATCGACATTTATAGCTGCGTTTAGAAAACATTAATGTGTCAGTTTGTCTTTATAATTCACTCCCCGAATGCAGTCTATATTGAAGTGCTTGGCGAACATTTTTAAAAAATGTTTTCAGATATTTTTCAAAACCTTTTATATTTTTTAATTGGAACACTTTTTAGATTTTTTCTCAGAATTTTTATATAATTCTTCAGAATTTCTATATGAATGTTATAACAATGTAAAAGTAATAATATTTTCAAAATCAACAAAACAAAATAAGATAGATCAATGAGAGTACAATATAGGTCGCAACACGTAATAAATTTAACAAATTATAAATTATAAAATTGATACATACATTCTAAATGTAAACTTTTTCGTGTCGACTCACTTTGAAGTCATCCTTAACGAACATGAGATATTTAAATAATTAATCACATTCCTCATAAAACAGTCATTCCAGGATTACACAATGATCCAAAATGAAATCTGCTTAGCTAATTTCGATGACAAATATCTTAAAAATCAATATATGGATTAGATAACTCAGATAACTGTAAATAAAATAAGTAATAAATGAGTGATTCATCAAACTGCATGAGGAACATGTCATGCAGTTTGAAAGTTAATAAAAGAAAGAAATTATAAATAAAATTCGACGATTGTAATCCGCCATCTGATCAAATGTAACGTAAAAATTATGTTGACGAAAAGCATTAAAGATGTGTATTATTGTCAATTCAATGTTTAAAATGTGTCTGTTCTTACATGAAAGTCAAGGTGTACATACTTATTTAATTTAATAATAAGTAAGCACCAGTTAAATTGAAAAATCAAACGCCAAGTCAATTAAAAACAAAAGAAAAGAAAGACATTAAAACGTAAAAAAATTTTATTGGCCATAATTTATTTAAAATTGAAATGTATCCATGACGTAAGAAAATTAACTGATTTTATCTGTTTCTCTTTTCATCAATATCTCAATTGTGCAAAATCAATATCTAAATTGTGCAAAAGATATTGAGTAATAACTTTTTAATTTGTTTTTCCAAGTACGACAATTTTAATCAGTATCTATTGATTTTCTTGAAAAAGTTATATTCATGAATTTTATAAATATTTTTTACCGACATATTGTACATTTGAAACAAATTTTTAAAAATAGTTATTAATTAATAAATTTTTATCTTTTTTTTTCATAATCATTAATTGAGATATTAATAAGAAGAAGAAATATGCACATACAGTAAGTAATTATTGTTTTTGTAATCAAAAATAATACTAAAATTATTTAATACACATTTTAACTATTCGAAAACAAATTATATTTTAGATGCATGCTGTGCACTATAAACATTGGTCTAAAAACATAAGTTTTTATATGACCATAGATTAACATACCTATACTGTCACTAATAAATAATCACAAATGACGTTCATCAACTTTTTGGATAAAAAATCATTTTCCCAATATCTGTAATCTATTAGAACTACAGGTTTCTGTCTTCCATTCCATTATCGTTAGGTACGTTTTAAAATATAGAGATGAGATAGACAACATTTTATTTTTTGTCTTTTCGTTGAAGATAACCTTAAGTGTTGGTCAAAACGTTTGAATTGAAGAAAATTGTTAAGCAAGTCAAATTTTATTCTCATATATATTTATAACGTTTGTGCAATTTAAGTACCACACCGTACTTTCATTTACCTGACCTTCTTGTATTATTTTTAATTTCGAGAGTCATTAATAAAAATTTATTTGTTAAAATAAAATTATTTTTATTGGATATTTTTTTATTGCTCGTCTGTGTGGCTCATATTCTTTCTTGTAACTATTTTTTAAATAAAATAATGCATTAAATTGTTTATTATTTACGCTTCGTTTCTATAGCTTTATAGTAATAAGTTACAAATAGTTTTGCAGGAAATTTTTTAGCTTGTTTTGACTTTTAAAATTTTTAAGATAAAGATAAAACCTTTACTTCCGAAAATAAGGCATATCTAATCATAACTGATAAAAACGCGCAAGGTCTGCAGTTTTAAAATAAATATTTTTTTCTAAGGAAGATCCTGTATCAATTATTGTAATTTAATCTATTGCTTATAGAGTGATAAAAATATACGACAATAATAGTAAAATATACGATTTTTGTCTTTATTATAAAAGCACAGTCACAAAAAATAAATAAAATTTTGATAAATTAAACTTGGATGGCCTTGAAATTAATTTTTATTTATTTAACAATCGATCAAGCATATTTTACACAAATTTTTTTATGCATTTGGATACAATATTACAATATGATCAATATTTAATTATTTTATTTTAATATATAAAATACGCCTACGATTGAGAATATAAACCAAGAAAATGACTATAAAAAAAACAAGAACAGAAAAAGAAAAATTAATGGATTGTCAAAGATTTTTTGGATTAAAATTTCTCTTTGCTTTCTTTGTTTTGTATACGTATATAATTAACATCACATATCCATATTTATAGTATATGTATATTATATATGTATATTATCTCGTCATTTTATTAATTTCATAATAACGACTGGTAGCGCGCGACATTCGTATTGTGAGCCATTTCCTTTTTTGTTTTCTATACTCGTTGGCTAACATTACTTCGTCGATTCACAATTTATTGTTATGTCGAGATTTTCCATAAGAGTTAAAAATGCATATCTTTTAAATTATCAAGGAATAAATTTTAGCGATATTGCGTTTTAATAAGTAACAGATTAACAAAAAGAAAAGTCTTTTTGATCAATATATGTATGTTGTAAACATTTGGCTTTTTTAAATTCTTTTATTAAAAAGTAAGTTGAAAAAGGTTGCATTTATATTGAAGTAATTTAGTAAAAATCAGTCATATAAATTTGTAAGTAAGCATGTCCAGAGAGCTTGTTGCTTGTCACAAAACATATAAGATCTGTTCTTTTTGCTACACTTCTGACACGATTCATCTTTCTTCCTCTTCTCTCCACATTAGAGAAAAAAAGAGGAAAATGAATGTATAATAAAGTTTAGCTAAAGGGGACAGACCTAAGACTATACCAACACTAATCTCTTACTTCGTATTTATTAAATATGTGAATTATTTCTTTATTAATACTACTGTATATGTCATTTTATTAGAAACAATCTCAACAACAAAGTTTGTGTCCAAATTTGGATGTACTTTTTGTAAATAAAATTTAATTAAATAAAACAAAAAAATATTAATGTATCATGGCTAGAATGACTGTAATAAATTTTGTAGTTTATTTGACATAAAGGACTGAAATCTGCATGTACAAAAGTTAATTTTTATACATTTATTCATAATATAGACATAAATAAACAAAATTGTCGGTTATTCATTAGTTATCTACAAATACAATTTAAGACATTCAAAAAAATGTATAGAATGCAAAATTTCCAATTTTTTGTTTTGAGAATCACCTATATTTTATTTAGTACATTTTATCTTAATGTTAGATAACTATTTATTATTATGAATATTATGTTTTACACAATACATGGTTGGATATTCAATTCATATTTCTTACATAATAATAATAATTCGAAACATTAATAGCAAAGAATAATGGATAGGGAAACAAACAAGTAAAGATATTAAAAATTAGTAAAAATACAATTTATTCATATATCAATAAACATGAAAAATAAAAAAGAATGCTTTGTACTCATAAATAAGTTTTTTCAGTAAATATATAGAATTATAAAGTATTTGATATCTCTTAAAGTCTCTCTCTCCTCTCACTTCTCTCTTAAAGTATCTTAAAACAAAAAATTCCTTGAAAAGTTTTTCAATTTATAAATCTGTTTTTCAATACGTGATGACATCGAATAACGCGGTCATATATGATATCTGCGTATCAGCGTCTTGAAACTTGACAGTCATTATCGGAATAACTACGGGTACAACAGTCACGACGATTATATAGTTTCAACTTGCAAACGAACGTAGAGCATTCACGTATTCGACGAACGACAACAGTACATTAATCCCGTCTAAAATTTGTTAAGGATCGAGTGAGCGTGTCAGAATGAAGAACGGCAATCTAATCGTAGCAGAAGCCCTGAAAGAACAGGTACGGAGCCAGTATATTTGCCGACAATGACTGTCACTATTTAGTAATCCAAATGTATCCTCAAATCATTGCACTTTTAAGGAAATTTCTGAATATAAAAGTCTCTCGTGAGAGAGATCGCCAGTTCTAAGATTTCGAATCTTGATTCAAATACTATACTTTGTCACGAAACAAATGCATGTCGATTTGTAGGTTATGATCATTGGTATACACGTGATCACGTGATCAAATTTTATATATTTTTTTTATTTAATGCAATACTTGTTTGCGTTGTTTGAAATATATCTGCACTAAAATTTTGCACTTAATACAAGATAAATGTATAATATTCGGACTTTGAAAAGAGAGAAAGTGAAGATTCTAAAAGTGTAAAAAGTGCAAGCAATGCATATATTATAGATCTGTAAGAGTTCAGCCGAGAAAAAATGTAGAACGCTCGAACGCGAAGCCGGGACTAAAACCGAAGCCTCGAAGTAGTTTGGATTAGAAAGCCACCATCTTTGTCGCGGAGCCACACAGCCCGACAAGGAAAATCTTAATTAATTTTTTACAGATCTACGATTTCGCTCTTGTGGTCAAAGTCTTACATGGATATGGGTGTCTTCTATTTAAATTGCTCGTTCTACCAATATAAATTTTAATCTCGATTCAACTTACAGTTTATCTTTTTCTCTAGCGCTCTAAACATTAATTAGATAAAAAGATAAAGAATAAGTTGAACCGGTTCTCTTTCTCTCTCGTAGGTATTTGATCGAGCAAGTACACTGGATAAAAAAATCACTATTTTAAAATGTATTTCGCGCATGAAAGGTTTTGAAGCGTAATTGAAAAGGTTTGTTAGTCATTCATCAGTTAATTGTATTAATTAATTACAATTAACTGAATGACTCACAAACCTTTTTTAAATTGCGCTTCGAAACTTTTTATACGCGCGAAATACAAACGTTTTTAAATAGTAGTTCTTTCAACCGATGTGTTTGTTCAGCCTTCAATATAATTGTGTATAATTAGGTCTATTTGTGTTGCTTAAAATGTTCGTAAATTTTTGAACTTAAAATGAAATAGATTATATATTTACGCGTTCACAAAAAAGAGGAAGCGAAGATGATGAGCGAATAAACCTATTTTCATCTTTAGATAGTATATCAACAAAACCATTTTCATATTTAGTAATATTTTAAGAATTTATTATATTTTAAATTTATAAAGATTTCTGAAAAAACATTAAAAAAAAATTTTTTTAGATTTCATAAATTTTCTTCGACAAATATAATAGAATAAAAAAAATAAAATAAAAAATCTTAGAATATTTCAGAATGCTCATTTCTTACATCGACACAAATAAAAAAACAAAGTTTTCCAAAAAATGAAATCAAATATTTTAAATTATTAAAATTTTGTAATTTTAATTTTGAAATACAATTTTGATGTAATAATAACTGATAGGGATTTAAAAGTATATGTGCTCTTGAAATATATATTTCTTCTTTTCTTTTGTTTCTATTCTTTTGTACAAGTTTTAAATCATGTTATTGTTGTAATAAATGAGCAATGTGAAGAATTATTATAAAAAGAGGTATAAACTTCTCCATCTTTCTGAAAAATGTTCTAATTTGCATTAAAAAATTTGAGGAATTCCTTAAAAAATTATATAAGATTATATAGAGAAACTTTGAAAAATTGTAAAATTTACATATAAATTTTAAAAAAATATATGTAGAATTCTGAGAAACAATATCAATTCTTATTGAACCACTTAATTTCAAATCGAATGAGATAATGTTACAGCAGTCTAAGCTGGATCAAGGGTGTTTCTAAACAATTCCGTGTGAATTAGTGTGATACGTATGTAATTCTTCGATTGCGCGCCGAAACTTTTTCAAACTTGAAACGCAACACTAATAAACTACCGTAGTAATATTACGAGTTAAATTATCTAACACTTCAACGATTATTTTGATGCTGTTCATACATCTTGAATATTGAAAACTGTAAATAATTAATTTTTCATTGCGAAGAACATTACCTCGGCCGGTTGAACCCGGATCTCTGGCATTCCGTGCGAGAGTCCTAAGCTTTGACTACCGAGGCAATTCTAAGAAAAATTTATTGAAAATGACTTTTTTTTCCTATTATCTTGTTCCTGATAAATAGAAGTCAGTTGAATATACCTCCGATGATAATTGCAGCAAAAATTAATCGAGTATGTACATAATAATAATACACAAGGTAGTAGCGATAACACTTAGTAACATTTTCAAGCTGCTGTAGATACGTAATATACTGCAGAGTGAATAATAATTTAAGTTTCTTGCACACAAGTAAGAAATTTGATACGCTCGAAAAGTTGAAATAATGATACGATTTGATGTAACAATCGTTGACAGCGGATGTCCGAGTAAGTCGAGGATAAGACTAATTTTACAGAACACTTACTGCAACTTGTGTTCTTATATCCATGGCATAATATAAGCGATCGTGCGACTTGCGCGAGCGCGCACTTATCACAAATCAAATTCATTTCGGCACGAATAAGAATCGACTCTTATCGCAATCGTATAATTAACACTTACTCTTTTTTGGCGGTGCAATTAACGGTGTATGCTCGTTGTGCTCTTGATGCATGCTGAAAACCGCTTTACTGATTTATTTACTGCATACGGATCGTCGAAGCTGCTGAGTTACTATGGCTTCTTCGGATGAAATGCGAAGAGTCTATGCCTTATTTTCATTTCGTGCGAGTTCATCGGGGGCCGTACATTATCAACATTCTGATAAATATATACTGTTTATAAATACTGTACGTCACATCATATATTAGACTGCTCTTTCCATTTCTGCGTTTTTGTGGTCACTTTTTTTAAGCCTATTGGTTGGCTGTAAGATAGAAAGATCCGAGGACCTCTCTGTTCTGCACATATTTGTTCTACAACAAAAACACAAATGTGAAATAGAAATAGCACTACTTAGACGGATCTCTCGTTTAGTATTCTTTTAGAGAAAATGTGTATATATAGATACGGGAGAAAGAAGAGAAGAGAGAAAGATTATAATAGAGAGAACAATTAAATGAGAGTTAATGGAAATTTCCTAACTTAATTAAAATAAATTTAAATTTACTTTCAAAGCAAGTTCATTTACGCGCTTTTATCGATTCTGTCAATGTTTGTTTATAAGCGCAATTTTAATGAGTTTTCTTAAAATTCCTTACATAGTTTTTCAAAATTTCTTAGATTTCTCGTTAAAACGTACTTTTTAAAAATGCTGAGAGAGAGAGAGAGAGAGAGTTTTTTTTTTCAGAATCTAGAAACTTTTTTCCAGAATTATTCATATGTGCTGAAATATTGTTTTTTTTGTTCTATAATTTCTGAAGAAAATTTAAAAAATTTGAAAAATTTAAGGTATCAGAAATTTTTATTTTAAAAATGTGAAAAATTCTTAAAACGACATTGATTTTATTTTTAAGATTTTTTTACATTTTAAATTTACAAAGATTTTTAAGAAAATATCCTTAAACTTTAGATTTTAGTGTGAATTTTTGTCACTAGGGAGGAAACGTGGAAAGAAAGAAATCTATATATGTATTATAATGTTTAATTATGAACATTTATTCATTTATACCCAACTTATTCCGAAACATTTTCTCACACTATGTTATACATTGTGAACAGGGCTTGACTTATGTTTTCGGCATTATGGGACATCCTGTGATTGATTTGGCTTTAACAATGCAATCTGTCGGTATGCAGTATCTAGGTTTTAGAAACGAGCAGGCCGCCTGCTATGCCGCGCAAGCTTACGGATATTTAACGAGTAAGTAGAAATTTTTCACATAGATCACATGTGTTTCAGTGTTAATATATATGCACTTGTAAATGTATTTGTAAGTTAACATTGATAAAAGACAAGGATATCTTCTATGATAATAAAGCATTTCTCTGACAAAACGTTTTACACTCGTAACAATCGTGTAATTCTGTCGCTTGATTGTAATTACTGTTTCATAATTAAAGTAAGTGAGTTGATACAATAGAAAATTAAATAAGATGAAAAAAATGATTATGATATGAAATTATAGACTGATCAGAATAAATCTATGTTAATTAAGTAAAAGAAATCTTATGTTCTGCAAACTGAGCGTATATTATAGAAGTCTTTTTCAGTTTTGAAATGCAATCATGAACAGAAATAGAGTAGCAGTATTACATATTAAATTGACAAGCAATTTAATAATATGATACTAATAAGCATTTCATATAAGAATATTAATAATTCGATGTTAATAAGTATCTTAAAAACTACGAATAATTTATTGCGAAAAATATTATCTCTCAGTCGGAATTTAAACCCGGATCTTACCGAACTCCGCCATTCCAATTCGACTTCTCTTATTTAATGAAAAAATATATATAATGAGCTTATATAAAATATTTAATTAATTTTCATCTAGGAAAACCTGCAGTGGTGTTATGTGTCTCTGGTCCGGGGTTGCTGCATGTTATTGGTGGTATGGCAAATGCGCAAGTAAATTGTTGGTAAGCAATGACCCGCGATTTCTATATGTATACACTATCATCTTAATAATTTACCGATATCACATATTGAATGAGGTATGTTATTTGTAATAATCGTGAGAGTAAGATATCACGAAGTATGAAATATCAAAGCACACTCGTATATGTATAATACATGAGGATACGTAATAAATGTAGAATCTCGCAACGGAAATGGATTAATTAATTATTTTTCGTATCTTACGGAATGATCGACACGTGCGGCAATTCTCGAAGTAATTTTGTTTATTACGTGGAAAATGTTCATCTAACTGCCGTCTGACTTATGATAGTTGTGATTATAATCTTATTGCATAGAAATCACGGCGATGCATCGAAGCATTACATCATTCTTCTGGTCTGTGGATTTTTCCTTATGAAAACATCGGGCTCAGGCATGAATTTTTTGCTATCTATAAAAATTATATGAAATCGTTGATTTGACCTCGCTTTGTAAAATTTATAACTTAGATTTTCTAGCTCACACACACATAGAGAAAAATGATTAAGTAATCTTTACCTTGCCGGACTAGTAAAAATATTCTGGCTATTTTTCTCGAACTTATAACAAACTTTAATTGCTTGAAAGTAGAAATATCGGAGATGTAAAGTAAAAAACACATTGCTACAATTATAGTAAATCCATTCAAGTAATTATTACCTTATAATAAAGTAAATTACTATTTTTAAAATTGTAAGCACGAATGTCGAACAACTTACTTTACTCAAAATTTACTTCGTGAAACGTAAAAAATACCTTACAGTATGACTATCTATCTAATACGACGATCTATTTCCAGACGCGCTATCTGGCTGTTAGCAAAAAAGTAAAGTAAATTTTACATTAGTTAGACGCCTGTCCCTATATATATGGACCTGCCAATTCCATAAAATTTATAATTCTATATATCATTTTACATTTTTCTCCATGTAGGAAATAATTATAATAAATGTTTGAAATCATTCTGATTCAACACCTACATATTTTGGCAGGCCTGTTCTCGTACTAGGAGGCTCTTGTCCAGAGGATCATGAGGGTATCGGTGGCTTTCAGGAATGGCCACAGGTCGAGGCAAGTAGACCATACTGCAAATACGCGGCAAGGCCACCATCAGCCGCGCTTATTCCGTTGCATGTTGAAAAGGCTGTACGACTCGCTACTTATGGTAGACCAGGTAAAAAGTGCCAGGCTTCTTCTGCAATGTTTTCGGATTAACTTAGAGTAGCATTAACATTCAATGGATTCTAAATATCAACCGAAAAAGACGATTTCAAAGACAGTTTATAAAAAATTTAACATCACACACGTGTACTTAAAAAATTTGGATTAATAATTTATAATATTTTGTGATCTAACATTTTAAGACTTCAAAAAGTTCATTTGTGCGAATTATTATATAGTACAAAATCTTTATATTCTTCAGCATTGCAAAGCCAAAAAGGAGACTTGAGATTTACACTGTTTCTTATCTTCACACATCTATTCATCCATACTATTTTTAAATATAAACCCTAACGTATTTTAATCTCAAATGTATATAATATTACTTGTTATGTCTATTTTATCTTTTTCAATTTATCTTTACTTATTTTTTCCGTACCTCTTTTTATCTCAAATTTTCCTTCCTTTTTACAATTTTAAATCTCTTCTCTCTATCAACTTCTAATTTTTATTTATACCTATACCTCTTGGTTAAATTCCTAATTGTTATCTCCGCGCAATTTTAAATTTTCGTCTATTTTTCTTTTACTGTTTATACTCAATTACATCTTTGAGTGGATATCTCTGAGTGTAGTCGTAAGGAAGAAACCTATTGGGAGGAGGGGGGGGGGAAGAAATTTTGATAAGAAATTAGATAACTGTTTTGGATTCAAACAGAAAAAGGATAAGAATCTAGCGCGATAATTGGCGCAATATAAACAATTTTTATTTTTAATTTATAAATCAATATAATATATTTTTAATCTTACATCTTCGCATCGTATTATTCATTGTTTGCAGGTGCTGCTTATCTCGATTTGTCCGCTACATTACTGACTCAAAATGTGGACGAAAGTAAGATTGCTAAGGTTTTATGCTGTCCACCGCCACCACTAATGTATCCCGATACGAAATTAATCGAGCAGGCAGCGAATTTATTGATAAAGGCAAACAAGCCTTTGGTGATAGTCGGCAAGGGTAAACGAACGGATTTACAAAAAATTTTTATTATTCTGATTATTTTTTCTCTTTCCAATCTCTTTTACATTTATCGAAATTAAATGTAAAAGAATTATATACAGGATGTATTCTGAAGTAATAAGGAGTCAAGTATTTTAAAAAAGTTCAAATGACGATTCCTTATGGTTGATTCAAGACAAATCAATTAGAAAATAAAAAAAACTTTATAAACAAAATACAAAAGCATAAAAAAGAGACGGAAGTTTGTAATAAATAATTACAAATCATTTAAATAATAAGTAATATTTAAAAAATAATTAATATTTAACAATAAGTAATATTATAAAAAATAATTAATAAATAATTACAATTATTGATATCATTTTTTTTATCAGTATTAATCTAAAGCTCCGTAGATCGATTTGTGTGCTGAAGAATTACATAATTCTGTACTATCTGCCGTCGCTATTCAATCAGACATTGCACCCGCAACAGAATATCTGTCAAATGCATTGAGGAGTCGAAAATGGTGCATTGACCAAAATAATCATCCTTGGTGGAAGGAACTCGCAGCGAAAGCCGAACAGAATAAGCAATCAGTTCACGTGAGTCCTTCTTAATTATAAATTGAATAAAGAGAGAGATTTTTTCTTTGTATGATCAATTTGCACACTTTCTTTTATTAACTCTCATTTATAGCGGATGTCGATGGATACTAGTGTGCCACTAAATTATTACACTGTATTTAAGCACATTCAAGATGTTATTCCAAAAGGTGAACGTTTTCTTGAATATATCATTTAGATATATCATATAATACGTTTATTAAGATTTTGTAGAGGTTTTTGTTTTTTATCGTAGAAAATATACTGCAAGCACGTATTTTATTTTATATTAACAATTAACAATTAGAAGAAAGAATTAATAATAAAAATTTCTTTCTTATGTATCGATTTGCAATATTAATTCAAAAAAAGTTGCATATGCTTTAATGTTATATTATGTGTTTGTGTATAATATAATATATAAAAAAATATATATAATTGTCTACAATTGTATAATTCTATAATTATAATACTTTTTTATACATGCAGATTGCATTATTTGTTCCGAGGGAGCTAATACAATGGACATCGGACGAACCATTCTCTTAAACAATTTACCTCGTCATAGACTAGACGCCGGTACGTTTGGCACTATGGGTGTAGGGCTTGGATTTGCGATCGCAGCTGCTCTTTATTGCAAAGATAACGCACCGAAAAAAAGAGTAATTTGTGTGGAAGGAGACAGCGCTTTTGGATTTTCCGGCATGGAAATTGAAACCATGTTTCGGTAATGTAATCTCGATAGAATTACTAAGATAAGAAAAGTCATCGTTTCACGAGCGAAGAATATAATCGTATCTATTTTTCTTTCCTTTCAGTTACAAACTACCAGTGATTATGATAATCATAAATAATAATGGCATATATGGCGGTTTCGATAATGAAACCTTCAAACAGATACAGGCGTCCGGAGAGCCTACGCAAGTGTACGCATCTCTCTACATAATCGTAACTCTAGGCACTCTAACTATACACATATACTGGGGTCGCAGAAATCTTAATATATGCAAAATCAAGATTTTTTCGCGTTACTAAAATTTTCTTTTTCTTTGAACCTATATATCTCAAAGCTCCTTAATTCTATCGACTTTTATACATCATGGACTTGTTCTTTAATCAATTCTCTATCAATTGAAAATAAAATAATTGAAATATGTCCATTTTTATGGTAACAAATATGGATTGAATCTTAGGGACTCGAGTGTGTATATGAAGGGTAAAAAAACAGGGTGTATATTGATTGCTTGCAAATCCAGATACTTTTATATTGATTATTAAAATTACATTTTTAGGACACCTCCGTATTCATTAACATCTGAAACTCATTATGAGAAATTGATGGAAATGTTTGGCAAAAAAGGATATTTTTGCACTACTGTGGAAGACATTCAGCAGGCATTGAAATTATCTCTCAAGGTAAGATTGTTATTTTTTAAGACTAATATCATTATTCCTTTAAAAATTGAAAAGAAATGCATAAATTATAAAATATCGTTTCAGGTTGTGGACAGTCCCAGTTTAATAAACATTATGATTAACCCGCAAGCAGATCGAAAGAAGCAACAATTCAATTGGCTAACAGAATCAAAATTATAGATATGGCATAATCAAAACGCTTTATGAAAGCATCTATGATTTTCTCTAATATTTTGTTTTCAGAGAACTATTTTTTTACAAATTCTTAATTAACTTTATGTTATTCATATGGTTTTTAAAAAATGTAATTATTCGCGTGTTTGTGACATATCTCAATTTTTATTGTTCTCTTTGATAATTTTCAAAATTTAAAAAAGTTGATATTTTATTATATTCTTTAGATAAAGATAAATATAATTTTTTTTAAATTGTAAAAACTTGTGCTAAATATTGTATAATAATGTGTACAAGTAACACCTATATACATCTAGCAAAAAAAACAAGAGAGAGAATGGGATATTCTGAACAATCCACGCAAGTAATGATTAGCATAATTACATTAAACAAAGTATCTTTTAAGACCATAATGTGAATACACAACTGAAAAACGAAAGTCTTACACTTTCTGATTATTAATTGATGTCTGATTATTAACTGGTTATAACTTAAGTGCTTAAATAATTCAGTGTTTATACAATGTATATGCATACACACACACACACACACACACACACACACACACAAGCACGCATATATTATATATATATATACACATAATCTACAAAATCAATTTTCAACTTTAAAACATAAACAGCAAAAACATCAAGCAAATACAAATAGAAGTAGTAATATCACAAATTAAGCAATTTCCTAAAATTATATTGATGCTAATAGGTGTTTTAAAAGGATAATCTGATGATAATAAGCATCTTAAAAATTGTAAATAATTGTATTATAAGAAATATGTATATATTACTTCAGCCGTGATTCAAATCCGGATTACTCAAATTCCATGGGTTTCAAAAGATATTTTGTTTAATATTGTTTATATACACCGCATATTAATACATAATCTTTTTATACATATTGATTGAAATATTTTTCATAATAAAATTATGTACACATTATCTTTAAGTATCCTTCTAAGATGTTTATTAATAAAAAAATATTCTGACATGCAGTTTATAGAACTGGATACGTATATATAAATCCACTCTAAAATATTTAAGTACTATATATATAATATATAAGATCCATTTTGACTAAAAATAAGTTTATTTCTTTTAATATAGGTTGATAATAATGGACTAAATGACCAAATACAAGCAAATTCAGTTAAATATATTTAAAATAGCATTTAATAATTTAATAAGATCATATACATATGTTTCAGTTCACAGTGCCTTCTTCAGTTTAACAGTATGCAAAATAGTAGACAAGTTAACATTAATTTCTTAACCCTAATCTATATAATCTACAAATGTATAGTAATAATAAGAGTCAGTCGGTAGTCAACCAGATAATTAAAATCTTGTCAAATTAAGAAATGATGATTTATGAAAAAACAATTTTTCATATTTAACAGTGAAAGTGAATAGTAAAGTGTCAAATTGTAAACTCCAAGATAACAAATTCATTAGAAGACCACAATTATGTTATATCAATATTTAGAAGTCCAATTTAGATAAAAAAATTTTTTTAAGTAGAAATGTGAAATATATGACATTGAGAATAAATTTATATATGTTTATTTATTTTACTTGGTTTCCTATTGTTGGAAAGTCACAAGGATAACTCAATAAAAATCTAAGTTATAGAAAAAAAAATTTATTTTTATATATAATGTTCCACTAGATCAACAGATTCCCTTTGTTTCTGAGATATACGGTATCTATCGTACAACTTTCTAGCTATTACACAGAGTTTATAAAAACAGTAAATAAACTAAATATGAATCATCAAGATATAAAACATTATAAAGATATATAGTGTACGATAAATAAAATGTACTAAAAATTATATTATGAAACGCCATAATTACGTGATATTCTTCGCAATACATTGCATTAATTTAACAAGATTTTTAACATAATTTATTGGCTCATTGCCCTGTTTCTCTATATTAGTTATTAAAAACATATTGAGCCTTATTACAAACATTTTAAAAATTATATGTTTCAGGAATTTATTTGGTCCAAGTACTCTGCAACATTTGTGGACGTGATGTCCGGTAAGATCGATTCTAACCTATTACGTTTGCTCTCATTGATAATCTCTGTCACATTCATTCCCATATTTTGAACTTGCATGGACAATGTTTCATTTGTCGTGCTGACTACTGTACATAAGTGTCCATTTTCCTTCACAAGTTCCTTGATTATATTCAGCTCTTTCTTTCTGAAAGTTAAAAACTCATCTACAATTCAACCGTCATCGCGACGGATTATCATCAGTTTCACAGAATTATAAAAATGTTACATTTTCCGGCTCATATTATCGATGGAAATTAATGTATTCTGGATTTGTATCTCGATAGATGGACTTGTATCACTTTCCTCAGTGTTAGATCTCATTGCTGTTTACACACAGAAGTTATTTATCTACTCACATCTGTAATGAGAATTGTTATTCCGTTAATTAATCATATTGCGAATCAACTACGAACCGTGTTATTCCCATCTGTGGTTATTCCACGTATATTCGGTAAAATTGATCTCAATCGGCGCGCCGTAAAGTTTCAAAACTACTTACATATATTAAACAATGAATCTACACTGCTCAAAAAATTCAAAGACGAATCGCTTGGATTTGATTGGACGTGATGTTGATTCTGCTTGATTCACGCATAAGGCCTGTTCTTTTTACTGAACTGGTGCACAGAG